GAGAAATGATGAGTAAGCCAATAGAGGGATGCTTTTGGAAGCCCTATTCAAGAAATTCCAATGGACTCTCATGAACATTTGAAAATTTCCCTGTTCTGATTTTTTTCTAGTTCCTTGTCTAGAACTTGTAATGCTAGTTACTCTTGCCTTCTCCTTCACATCTCCTATTAACAATTCAAGGACTTTCTTTTCCCCCTAGAGATAAGAGTTATGCATTTTGGGAGTCTTTTAGATAGACCCACTGAGTGATGCGTGGTTAACAAAAATGTGGTATATTTACACAATGGAGTTCTAGTCAGCAGTAAAGAAAGATGAAATAATGAAATATGCAGGTAAATGAATGGATCTAGAAACTGTTATACTAAGTGAAGTAACACAGACTCAGAAAAACAAACAACATGTTCTCCCTCATATGTGGATCCTAGCACCAAATCCTTTTAAATTCCAGGTCCTTTTAATAAGATCATGCTATACAGCAGTACCTTCTGCATGAAATATCTACCATCACCATGACTTTAGCTGAGCCTGATCACGAAACATCATCACAACTGGGCTCCTTGACAGTTGTGCTCATTCATTAAAGAAGGGCCAAGCAGGCCATTGGACCCTCACAGGAGTATCCAGCCACTCTTCTCAGCCAACTGTATGTAATTTGACCCTAATCACTCATGTCCTCCTGGATCTGGGGAAGGCTAGGAAGAGAAGGCATGACCCATGCTGGGTAAAGGCTTTCCAGTGTGCGTACCCTCAGGTCATACATACACCTCAGCAACTCCTCAGTTATCTCGGTAAGCAAGCTCAATAAATTCATGGGTTCTCCAGTAAAGCAAACATGGGCTTGACACTAGAATCTTAAAAGGGAATAAGCATTGCTTAGCATCCCCAGGAAAAGAAGGGGGGATGTTAGAGTAGCCAAAAAGCCCCATAAAAGTAACTAAATAAATCAAAGAAGAAAGAGTACATGAAGTTATCGGAAAAAAAGTGACGGGGAGATATGGTCCTCAGTTATCTCGGTAAGCAAGCTCAATAAATTCATGGGTTCTCCAGTAAAGCAAACATGGGCTTGACACTAGAATCTTAAAAGGGAATAAGCATTGCTTAGCATCCCCAGGAAAAGAAGTGTCACAACAGATGGAAAATTTATTTGTTAATGCAATTATGTCTCATAATTATTAAAAAAAGAAAACAAGAATGTAAATGATGTTAAAAGAATATGGGAATGGAGATATTTTCTAAAATAGAAACTATTATGTCTCATAATGGTTAAATAAAAAGAAAATGAGAATGTAAAAGATGTTAAAAGGATATGGGAATGGAGACATTTTCTAAAATAGACAGAAAAAATGAGACAGCCTAAGCAAGTGATGAAGGTCTATGAAGGTTTGTTATGATAAAGGATGAGACAAAAATAATATCCACATAATCTTAAAATGTCTACGGTCATAGTTTAGCCAACTAGTTTAAGGAACAAAATATATATCTAGTCAAGGTTTATCTGAGAATATTCGGTTTTTTACCCAAGCCTTGGGTAAAAAGCCTACATAGCACATGATAATTAACAGTACCAGACTGGTGGAATTAACCTTATTGGATATTTAACAGCCATAGTTTGAGGCCTATACTAGTGTGGTCAGAGAAACTTAAAGGACAGTTTTTGCCCCTTGCCCTCCAAGGTCCACTAAGTTCCAGGGAACTATGTAACATCTCTTAAAATGTCCTGTAACTGTGGTGAGTCACCTGTCCTCTTGTTCAGGGAAGACTTGGAGACCCCACGAAATGGACTTGAACCAGTACCCAATCTACAAAGAGGAGGGTCAACTCAGAGGAAACATCTCATTCATGCTTCCAAGTGAAGCCAGACATTGTCTAGCAGGACCTTTGACTTATCTTCACATAGATGGAACTGGTAAAAGAAAGGAGCCAGGAGCTCCTCCCAAGCCCATGTGACCCCTGAGGAACAGATCCTCAAATGACCTTAAGTGTAAAAATAAATTGACTTATTTGGGCCAACTGTATAGTCTTAAAAACCCAAAAGGAAAGTATAACCCAAAAGTAAAGTCATTAGTACATTTCTTTAAGAGTTCAAGGGATTACACTTCCCAGATATTAGACTTAAATCTATATAAAAATTATTTAGGAAAT